TGATGAGCCAAGTAAAGCCCCCTCGGCCAAACCCTCCCCTAACCTGGACAACACTGGGCCAATTGTCCGCCGCCCTTTGGGACTCCCGATCATGGCCAGTTTGTGATACAGCCTGAGATCGAACCCAGGTCTGTAGTGACGCCTCTAGCACTGCAATGCAGTGCCTTAGACCGCTGCGCCACTCGGGAGGCCATTATCTCGCACTTTTGTCCATAATAATCTCATAATGTAGTCGCACTGTATTTGCAAGATGTTGGCTAGAGAGCACATGCCAAAAGCAGAGCGGGCACATTCGCTGTATGCAAAACATTTTTGTGACAAAACCAACAGTAGGCCTAGAGTTGAAAATGTGATGGAAACCCATTTAAATTGTATTTTTTTATCCAGTACATGGGAATTTAAACTCAGAAGTTATTTTTATGTGCACTACGTATTCACACACAGACTTGTATCTGCAACAGGTCAATTTGATGGAAACACAACTCTAATGGGAAAATGCCCCAGGGTTTCCCTTAGCTGGTTATTGCTGGTATTTGGCCGATAAAAAAATTAAAAGCTGATAAATAAGAGTGTAGTGGGCTGTCTATCATAGCCTACACCCCGAATTCGCGCTTCAGCACCATTCTCTCACGCCTTGTGCACACGTGTGCCTGCTGCTGAGAAGAGAGAGAGCGAGAGAGGAGCCTTGGCCTAGGCCACTGTTGATTGTGAAGATGGAGGCCTTTTTCATTGAAGTAAAACAAAAGAGAGGAAAAAGAGTATGCCTTTAGTGAAAAGCCTACAAGGGGAATGAATATAAGTTTTAATATTATAGTGGACTAAGATGAGAAGAATGCAGGCTACCGTGCAACTCCTTATTCAGGTACGATGCAATTTTGGAACTTACATTTATTTATAATCATTTGTTTTATCATTATTATTATTATTTTAAGATAGGTTATAAGTATGGCTGTTGTATAATAAATCACATTAGCCTATTTCTTTCATTTGTTGGGTATGGTAGGCACTTGCCTTTGTTGGTAATTGCTGAAATATAGCCTGTTCAAAACTTTTGTGAAGGTTTAAACCAGTTCGCAAGTGTTTTGTTTCAGTTGAGCCATTTTCTTTGGCCAAATTAAGTTCCAACTGTAGTGCTGTGTTTTCCGCAATATAATAGCCTGCTCGTATTTTCCCTATAAACAATGGCTTGACTTACTTTTGATATTACCCTAATAAAGTTTAGAAAGTTTTGTGAAGGTTTGGTATGGTGTGGCTATTATTAAGGTTTAGCTACTGCAAGCCTATGATATGAAGGCAGTATGTACCGGCGCTCCAACTGACTCCGACAGTTGAACTTGAGGTGAGGAAGAATGTCTCAGGCCTACCAGAGTTACTCCTATAATCTAACAATAATGCTTATCTTTATACAAAATATTCGGATAGAAAATTAATGAATTAGCCTCCTTCTGTACATCTACAGTATATCTGAATAGCAGACGCAGTAGACATCTGACATAAAGAAAGGCATGTCGGTGTCGTAGCATGCCGCCGGCATATCTCTATCTCTCTGGAGCTAGGGCTAAGTTCCTCTTCTTTTATATAGGCTACATATTTTGCTTAATATTATACTGAAAAAAAAATATAAATGCAACATGCAACAATTTCAAAGATTTTACTGAGTTACAGTTCATATAAAGAAATCAGTCAATTGAAATAAATTCAATAGGCAGTAATCAATGGATTTCACGACTGGGAATACAGATATGCATCTTTTGGTCGCAGATACCTTAAAAAAGGTAGGGGCATGGATCAGAAAACCAGTCAGTGTCTGGTGTGACCACCATTTGCCTCATGCAGCGCGACATCTCCTTCGCATAGAGTTGATCAGGCTGTTGATTGTGGCTGTGGAATGTTGTCCCACTCCTCTTCAATGGCTGTGCGAAGTTGCTGGATATTGGCAGGAACTGGAACACGCTGTCCTACACGTCGATCCAGAGCATGCCAAACATGCTCAATGGGTGACATGTCTGGTGAGTATGCAGGCCATGGAAGAACCGGGGCCGTACATTATCATGCTGAAACATGAGGTGGTGACGGGGGATGAATGGCATCACAAAGGGCCTCAGGATCTCGTCACGGTATCTGCAATTGTGTTCATTGTCCATAGCTTATGCCTGCCTGCCCATATCATAACCCCAGCATGGGGCACTCTGTTCACAACGTTGACATCAGCAAACCGCTCGCCCACATGACGTCATACACATGGTCTGCGGTTGTGAGGCTGGTTAGACGTACTGCCAAATTCTCTAAAATGACGTTGGAGGTCGGCTTGTGGTAGAGAAATGAACATTAAATTCTCTGGCAACAGCTCTGGTGGACATTCGTGCAATCAGCATGCCAATTGCACGCTCCCTCAAAACTTGAGACATCTGTGGAATTGTGTTGTGTGACAACTGCACATTTTAGAGTGGCCTTTTATTGTCCCCAGCACAAGGTGCACCTGTGTAATGATCATGTTGCTTAATCAGCTTCTTGATATGCCACACCTGTCAGGTGGATGGATTATCTTGGCAAAGGATAAATGCTCACTAACAGGGATGTAAACAAATTTGTGCACAAAATTTGAGAGAAAATATATTTGAAACATGGGACCAACACTTTACATGTCGCATTTATATTTTTGTTCAGTGTAATATCATACAGTGGACACCTAAGCCTATAGGCCTATGCATACAATGTCCTGATGCATTTCCCACCCCAAACCGGAAGTGTCATTATTCTAAAGCATATAAAAGCATATTAATATGTCTAGATTTGATTAGAGCTTTGATTGACATGAAAACTAAAGTCTGATGCTACCTGAGCTTGATGAGCCATACATTAAATACATTTTATGAGCCCTAGATTAAAGACATTTTATGAGCCTAAGCCTAAAAAAAACAAATTATTGTGGCGTTATCCATCATATAGAAAAACATTAAAGCCCATAGATGTAGCTATTTAAAAGAATAAGGTGACCCCCAAAAGCCAGATGGAGATGTGTAAATTAGACACACATTCAGTCCTTAGATTACTGTAACATATGCTGCAGCAAATGTGGGGACTACAATGGAAATAAGTCCCCAACTGTATTGTGCAATCCCGGTCACTTAAAAAATTATTTGTGTATATATGTATTTTTTTGACTGACAAATCAAATCAATCAATCAATCCAAACTGTGCAGTGGCATTTTGATGAATGGAAAGAGACATCTATTACAAAAATGTTTAATTACATTCAGAGATTGTCAAGCTAAGCCTTCATTTACATTTTTACATACATGGTAGGGAGGGATGTCTTTTCTGTTTGTCGAGATTGACATAGTCTATTTATTATGGTGTTGAAAACGCAAACCATGATATTGAAGTGCCCGAAGTTGGTATGTTTTGTTTATTGGTTGTGTGGTGCATTGGCACAGAAACCAGGTGGATAATTCATGGATAATTAATTGCATATATTTTATATCATTATAAATATGGCATCAAAATGCAGAAAAACAGATTTCCCACCAGCTGATAATTGTCTGCAACCAGTTCTGATCGTGAAGTAATGAAACAGGCAGCGAAGTAGATATCCACATTTATAAACACAGGGTCGCTACAGTTATTGTTATTTGTGGTCATAAACATTATTTTGAGTTAATTCTATGAGGGGGAGGGTGTTCAATTTATTTTCCAGTACAAGGGGAGTGCCATGTGAAAATATTTGTAATGTTGGGGAGGGGGGTGCCAAATTTTTTATGACACGTTGAGAAAATAACACACCCCTGTAAATTTCGATCTGTCCCTAAACACAATCATGTTAATCAATTTCACACACATACAGTCAGGTCCATAATTATTGGCACCCTTGATAAAGATGAGTAAAAAAGACTGTATAAAACAAATAATACAAATACTGAGCTAAATTGTATGCAAAAAAAAGGGAAATTATATTATTTTATTCTAATACAATCTCAGAGAAAGAGCTTTTGTTTAACAAGTGATAAAAAAAATATTAGCACCCGTTTTCAATACTCTTTCACCCTTCCCTTGCGAAGGATAACGACATGGAGACTTTTTCTAAAATGTTTTATGAGATTGGAGAACACATTGGGAGGGATCTTAGACCATTCCTCCATACAGAATCTTTCTAGATCCTTGATATCTTTCGTCTGCTCTTATGGACTGTCCTCTTCAATTCAAACCACAGGTTTTCAATGGGGTTCATGTCCAGAGACTGATGGCAACATTTAGATTTTGTTGTCGATTAACCATTTCTTTGTGGATTTTGATTAGTGCTTAGGGTTGTTGTCTAGCTGGAAGATCCACTTGCGGCCAAGTGTCAGCCTCCTGGCAGAGGCAACCAGGTTTATGGCTGGTAGAGGCAACCAGGTTTTTAGCACCGGCTGGAGTTTAATAAACGGCATTGCCACTTGGATTGGAACCAGTGCTATTGTCAGATGACATGAAAACAGAGCTCTTTGGCCAAGCACACCAGTGGTGGGTTTGGTGTTGAAAAACAGAAGCAAATGCAGAAAAGTACCTCATACCTACGGTCAAAAATATGGTGGTGGATCTTTGATGTTAAGGGGCTATTTTGCTTCCACTGGTCCTGTGGCCCTTGTTAAGGTCAACGGCATCATAAACTTTACCCAGTACCAGGACATTTTAGCCAAAAAACCTGGTTGCCTCTGCCATGAGGCTGACACTTGGCCGCAAGTGGATCTTCCATGAAGACAATAACCCAATCTATTTCTCTGAGCAATTGTATTACTATAAAATAAAATAATATAATTTCCCAATTTTTTTGCATACAATATAGCTCAGTATCGGTATTATTTATTTTATACAGTCTTTTTTGCTCATCTTTATCAAGGGTGCCAATCATTATGTACCTCTGTATCTGACATAGTCTCTCTCATAGACATGACAGTCTCTCAGACACAAGTACATTTGTCATTGTTCTTCCAGGCTGAGAGCAGTGTGTCTCTGTAGTCCACTCTCTTTGACACCAGAGCTCCCAGCAGAGCCTCAGTCCTGGGCTGGAGCCTGACAGACAGAGGAACAACAACATTTAGCATCAACACAGACCCTCCTATGTGGTATATTGTGTAGTGTGAGGGAGTAGACAAAGGAGCTGGACTACAGCAAACAAGGGCTGTTGTGGAGTGGGTCGAGAGCTTCAAGTTCCTCAGTCCACATCACTAAGTACCACAGGAGGTTGGTGGCACCTTAATTGGGGAGTACGGGCTTGTGGTAATGACTGGAGCGGAATAAGTGGAATGGTATCAAGTACATCAAACACATGGTTTCCAGGTGTTTGATGCCATTCCATTTGCTCCGTTCCGGCCATTATTATGAGCTTTTCTCCCCTCAGCAGCCTCCACTGCTAAGGACCTAACATGGTCCACACACACCCGCACAGTCGTGCAGAGGGCACGACAGTGCCTCTTCTCCCTTGGAGGCTGAAAGGATTTGGCATGGGCCTTCAGATCCTGAAGAAGTTCTACAGCTGCACCATTGAGAGCATCTTGACTGGCTGCATCACCGCTTGGTATGGCAACTGCACCGCCCTAGACTGCAAAGCGCTAAAGAGGGTGGTGTGGACGGCCCAGTACATCACTAGGGCCTAGCACCCTGCCATCTAGGACCTTTATATCAGGCTGTGTCAGAGGAAGGCCCGAAAAATTGCCAAAATGGCAGTACTGGGTGAGGAGCTGGGGAACCCACTCTGGTTCTACCGCTGACACACCTGAGAGAGACCAGTCTCCAGTTAACAGCTGTTGGCATAATGGAATACTGATTACATTAAACTGTACCATATCAGTGGTAGAGTTTCACCTACCTCTCATGTACATCTTGGTGGCCTCCAAGACCTCCTGATAGGCCACAAACTGAGGCAGGGTTTTAAACAGGGCTGAGGAGGGGTGGATGTAGACAGGCTCATCCAGGAGTGGGGTCTGAAACAGAGAAAGAGAGAGTGAGAGACATCTAAAGGGTTAACACAACTCAAAAACAACACTATCAACAAGCAGGATCAGAAATGGGACTAAGTAACACACAACCATAAACATAAACCTCCTCTCTGATCACTGAGGATAATCTAATTTAATAGGTGAACTCACCTTGTATCCATTCCTCCATTTTGGGTCTAGTAGTTCATCTTGCTGTACCCGTCTGGCCAGGTGGTTTCCCAGTCCCGCCAGCACTATCTGACGTAAACACACCACCTGGCTCTCAGTGGGCAGAGCCATCTTACAGTCCACAAACACACCTACCTCTGGACACACTTAGTTCACTGTGGAGAGGACAGTGTGAGTCTGTGTGTGTGTGTGTGTGTGTGTGTGTGTGTGTGTGTGTGTGTGTGTGTGTGTGTGTGTGTGTGTGTGTGTGTGTGTGTGTGTGTGTGTGTGTGTGTGTGTACCTGCGTTGGTGAGCTGTCCTCTAAGTCATCTGGTCTCCAGCATGGCTTTGTACCTCAGTACTTAGGAGTGCAGCCGGCAAACTCACACACACCCACAGCACCTGAGGTAAACCATAACACAGGCATACATACACAAGCAGTACAGTGCACACACAAAGGGAAACAACACTACACAATCATGCACACACACTCCAGCCTTACCCAGCAGGACCACAAGGTCCCCCAGCACTAGAGAGGCTCCCTGCCCAGCTGACAGCCTCCTCATCTGGACCAGCCGGGCTCGACGCTGGGCCATCCTGGAGCTTTCATCCTCACTTCCAGCAGGTCTGGGCCAGGGGACAATAGTGGAGAGAGAGAGGAGACCAATAGAGATGGTGGAGAGAGAGAGTGGAGAGATGCAAAGGATCTTATTTAAATATGCATTTCAAAATGAAGCCATCAGTGGAGGCTCCTCCTCCGAAGGAAGGGGAGGACCATCCTCCTCACTGAATTTTATAAAAATACTGAAACAATATAAAAGTTATCCTTTTTAGATAAAACTATACTAAATACATTCACGTCACCAAATAATTGATTAAAACACACTGTTTTGCAATGAAGGTCTACAGTAGCCTCCGCAGCACTCTGTAGGGTAGCACCATGGTGTAGCCGGAGGACAGCTAGCTTCTGTACTCCTCTGGGTACATTGACTTCAATACAAAACCTAGGAGGCTCATGTTTCTCAGCCCCTTCCACAGACTTAAACAGTAATTATGACAACTTCCAACCTATCAGAGCACTTGTAGTATGAACTGACATGTTGTCGACCCAATCAAAGGATCAAAGAATGAATCTAGTACTGAAAGCATAAGCTACAGCTAGCTAGCACTGCAGTACATACAATGTGGTGAGTAGTTGACTCAAAGAGAGAAAGACAATAGTTCAACAGTTTTGAACAAATTAATTTCTTCAAAAATGAAGGAGAAGCGAGAGAGAGAGATTTTGTAGTATTTATTTTTACTTTCACTTACCTAGCTAGCGAATGCAGCTAGCCAGTGTAGCCTACTGAAACACCCAGCTCAAACAGAGAGGGATGCTATGTTAGCTAGCTGTATATGGCTATCCAACACGAACTCTTCCAAGTCAAGGTGGTGGTCCTCTGAAGCTCAATTGGTAGAGCATGGCGCTTGTAACACCAGGGTAGTGGGTTCGATCCCCGGGACCACCCATACGTAAAAATGTATGCGCACATGACTGTAAGTCGCTTTGGATAAAAACGTCTGCTAAATGGCATATTATTATTAAGGTAAGCTTTTGGTTTTATTAATTTATTGCCACCGGGGCCTGCCGGTGTAACTGCTAAACTGCTTGCTGTACACTCTACAGCATGATTGTAGGGGGTTTATTAACACGTTAGTTCTAGTAGCTAGCTATGTTGACTATGATGTTAGGTGACAACGATGTAGGCTGTGTGTAGCAGTTAGCGGTTATGGTATGAAGGTTTGGCTTGGGAAGTTTTTTTTGGCTGGTCACAGACAGCTGTTGTATTGTGCACTGAAGTCCACAAGCGAAGTGAAAAGGTGAGAGGAGGAGAGTGCATAGATGCGAGAAGGAATTATACAACGAGCAAATGATCATGCTGTTTGTATGTGGCTGCTATGAAAGGGAACTGTATTTGCAGTGATCATGGGTGTATTCATTCTGCCGATTCTGTATTAAAAAAAAATCTTAAACGGAAGCAAACAGAACGAAACAGTGATCAACATACCTGTCGCTCTGGATAACAGCGTCTGCTAAATGACTAAAATGTAAATGTAAATTTGTCCAATAGAAACTCTCGTTTGCAATTGTTTGACTAATGATTACACCCTAGATCAGCTAGATGCAGGCAAGAGTGTGCAAGGCGGTATTGAATGTGTCACTGTCTGGATAACTCACATTTTTCTCTCGACCTCATGATGGGTATAAGGAAAATGTGAGTATCATGTAGTAGCCTAAACCTATCGATGTTACATTGAGCTGGGTGAATGGAATATGAATGACAGTCATCATTTTACATTTTAGTCATTTAGCAGATGCTCTTATCCAGAGCGACTTACAGTTAGTGAGTGCATACATTTTCATACTGGCCCCCTGTGGGAAACGAACCCACAACCCTGGCGTTGCAAGCGCCATGCTCTACCAACTGAGCTACAGGGGACTACATTTACATTTAAGTCATTTAGCAGATGCTCTTATCCAGAGCGACTTACAGTTAGTGAGTGCATACATTTTCATACTGGCCCCCTGTGGGAAACGAACCCACAACCCTGGCGTTGCAAGCGCCATGCTCTACCAACTGAGCTACAGGGGACTACATTTACATTTACATTTAAGTCATTTAGCAGACGCTCTTATCCAGAGCGACTTGCAGTTAGTGCATACATTACTTTTTTCATACCCCCCGTGGGAATCGAACCCACAACCCTGGCGTTGCAAACGCCATGCTCTACAAACTGAGCTACATCCCCTGCCAGCCATTCCCTCCCCTACCCTAGACGACGCTGGGCCAATTGTGCGCCGCCCCATGGGACTAATATGCTGTAATAGAAATAAAGCCATGCTCATAAAAAAAATGTTTTCTTCCTCATCTTAAACGGCACCGACCACCACTGGAAGCCATGAAACCAAAATCCTGTGTTTGATTGGCAATACATGTTTTTCTAATCTGTTTACGTATTTCAGAATAATCCCATAACCACACATTTTTTCAGAATAATCCCATAACCACACATTTCCTATATGTCTGCCCTGGCCCCCACCTGTCCAGATCCTCAAAGATCTCCCGGACTGTCATGGCAGCCACCACAGTGATGACGTAAGGCAGACATTCCTGCTTCTTCCCTAGCGCTAGCATCTTAGCGTAGCGCGGCGCAATGGGGAACGACGCCATTGCCCTGCCCAGGAGGCAGATGGGACACTTCAAACGCACTTGCTCCATCTCCTTGACCCTACAGCAGAGAGAGAGAGATGGATTGGTGTGTGGGTTGGTTGGTTGCAGGAGGGGAGCATGGGGGATTACAGAGATACGTGAGGTAGGTTGAGTGGAGGATGTGGTAGGGGATCTGAAGGGTGAGGTGGGGGGGTGAGGTAGGGTGAGTCAGGTTTAACCTCTTACCGTCCGGTGCGTGGCGGCTCTTCCAGTGCTCCCAGTGAAACCAGTAACTGTTCTGCTGCCACCAGCGCCTCAGCAAAGGGAGGGGATGTAGTATGTACCACATTCTTCTTCTGTTTGGCTTTCTTAAACTTCCTCATCTCGGAGGCTGTGTCTCAAATGGTACCCTATATACAGTAGTGCACCACGGGTCCTGGTCAAAAGTAGTGCACTATATAGGAAATAGTTGTAAACTACTTAGGGCTCTGGTCAAAAGTAGTGCAGTATAAAGACTGCCATTTAGGACGTAGCCTTACAGAGCATGAGTAACTGAGGCAAAAAGACTGATAGAATGGGGTCATACAATAAAGACGGAGAAGGATAGGGGTGAAAATAGGTAGGGAGAGGGACGAACAGAACAAGTGAAGGGAAGGATGGAAAGTAAGGAGAGAGATAGAGGGATTACCTTCTGAATCTCCTTCAACAATTTGATCTTGGTGTCACTGGTCACGATCCCTTCATAACGGATCTGGTACGACACCACCCTAACAACAGACCCGAACCAAACACAAATGGAGACGAAATCCACACACTAACCATTTTGTTGTGTGTGTACCATGTGGACAGGTTCATCTCTTTGGCCACTGACAGCTGCAACTCTCCTAGAATCTGTCACACCAATGACTCCACTGGAGAGAAACAGGAGGGAGAGGGGTAAGGAGAGTGATGATATTATGATGATATTAGTGGAGTGAAAGGAGGCTTCCAAATAAATGTACAAAAAGACAGTGGTGGATTAGACGAAGGAGTTTGTGTGTGTTACCTGGAGTATCAAGCCTCATATAGGAACTGGGGTACCTGGGTGGTTTTACCACTTCCTGTCTCTCCACACAGAACTACATAGCTGTTTTTTCTTACTGCCTCCATGATCACCTGCTCCTCGGCCAGCAATGGCAGCTTCAGACGTGTCAGGTGTCAGTGTGCAGCGGTAGAACGGAGTCAGGCGCAGGACACAGAACTGAGTAATAGACAAACTTTACTCGAAAAAACAACAAATCTAATTTCCACACAGGGAAATACAACAGCTCACAGCAGTATAAACACCAAACAAAGAACAATCACGCACAACACCAAGAGGGAACCAGAGGGTTAAATAGGGAAACAAATTAACGTGATGGGAACCAGGTGTATACAATACAGACAAAACAAATGGAAAACAAAAACGTAGATCGGTTGCAGCTAGAAAGTTTACTGGGGGGCCTGACTCCTCTCTCCTCTCCTCCTTTTTACTGGGGGGCCTGACTCCTCTCTCCTCTCCTCCTTTTTACTGGGGCCTGACTCCTCTCTCCTCTCCTCCTTTTTACTGGGGCCTGACTCCTCTCTCCTCTCCTCCTTTTTACTGGGGCCTGACTCCTCTCTCCTCTCCTCCTTTTTACTGGGGCCTGACTCCTCTCTCCTCTCCTCCTTTTTACTGGGGGCCTGGGCCTGACTCCTCTCTCCTCTCCTCCTTTTTACTGGGGGCCTGGGCCTGACTCCTCTCTCCTCTCCTCCTTTTTACTGGGGACCTAGGCCTGACTCCTCTCTCCTCTCCTCCTTTTTACTGGGGGCCTGGGCCTGACTCCTCTCTCCTCTCCTCCCTTTTCTCTTCTTTCTTTTCCTTTTTCACCTCCTCCACCTCAATCTCCTGACAGGAGGAGGCCAGCTCTTTAGATTCAGAGACATCAGTGGCCTCCAACCCTCCATTCTCCATCATCCACCTCTTCATCAGATGATGAGTCCAAACCACTACTCTTCTCCTTTTCCTCCTATTCCCATGCTCTTCGTTTCCTGTTGGCTCCACGCAGGCTGATGATCCTGGGCCCTGAGGCTCCGTCATCTAGCTCATCAGCAGTCCTGAGAGAGAAACAACACCACAGAGGATCATAAACAAGCCTACAGTAGATCATCAGTCCAACTAATCTACTCACTGTTCATCTGCCCACCTGAGCATATGGAAAGCATTACTAAACCAAATGCTGCTGCTACAATGGCATGGCACAGTCCCATTGCCTTACCGTTAGGTCTGGTACTGCTTGTCTCCTATGCCCAGTTTTGAGGTGGTGTAAAGCAGCTTTAGTTCAGTCAGGCAGCTGCACCTCGGCCAGCTTGGTCAGGATGTCTGCTCTCTGGGGATCAAAGGAGGGAGATGATGATGAATAGCGGAGTTTGTGTTTTATGGGCAGAATGACACAGCTCATAATTATACTTCAACTGAAACTGGGCTGGTCTGGCTCGGAGAAGGCAGATGTAGCATGTTACCTTGGCTTTCTTCTCTTTGACCTCCAGGACTTTATGCAGCTGTTTCCTTTGTTTCTTGGTCAGGGGCTGTTTCTTTGGAAACATCCTGGTTCTGTCCCTTCCAGTTGTGCCTTTTCCTCAGTCGCCCCATCTCACAGCACTCAACAGACAGGAACTCTATGTATCGCACAAAAGAGCATAGCATTGACAGAGCAGTGATTGCTACAAGTTCTCATTTAAATACTGTATGTTGGTACTTGGTACTAATGCGTTGCTAACTGGTTTTCAACATATACAACTGGTAGGAAGAGCCTAAACAGCTAGCTGGGTCATTCCTACAATGTGGTGCCTTTTCTGTCCCCAGGAAATATCAGTTCTTATTAAGTGTAAAATGTGGATTCCAAAAGGCTATAAATATAAGGCCATGTGTCCTTTACCTTAAAAATACCAAAATGTGGATCCCGAAAGGGAATTTTATGCATTTTAAACACTTTTTGCCTGTGGATGTAGGCGTTTTTGCGATGTCCCCAGGTGTTATTTATCAACTTCCACAATAAATATAAGCCATAAAATAATACAATGTTTAAAATCTTTCTTAATTATTTTATAGTCCTAGTTAAAGTCTCTTTCATCAATAAAGTTTTTTTTCATGATTATTGTATTTATTATTATATTATTTCAGATTTTCTGTGTCCCTGTTATCACCTTCCACCCTGTTAGTTTTGTTGTAATTATCCATTTAAGAAAACAACCCCTTCCTACGATGACCCCACATTTAGGAAGTGTCATGTTTTGGGTGGGAAAACTATGTTGCAAAGCTAAATAAATATAAACACTCCTTTTAATCTATTCGTCCATGTTTCATGTAGTTAGTGTGTATGTCCCACTCATACATGTCCACCCTGTTAGGCTTAATTTTCCACTGGATCTCACGTGTAAACAACATGAATCATTGTGTTCCGACACCGACACAGGCAGAGTATGAAAGTTCCTTCCTTAAAACTTTATTCCGCAAGCTATTTCTTTATGGATTACAATGTCTTTGAATGATCCAGTGAATGTTTCAGTTTTATGTGATGGAACTGATAAACAATAGCTATTATGACAAAGCTAAACTGTGTATGTGTATGATGGTGTACTAAACTGCACTGTGTGGAAGTATATGGAATAGCCTACTGTAGTCAAAACCATGTATACAGTAGAAATACATGGTTCTGGCTGTAGTTATTAGGTCAAAAAAACGGATGTCATTGCAGGCAATTAGACAAGCTTCTATATCGACTGGAATGAAAATGCACAAACATATTTCCAATATAATTTTTAATTGGCTGGATTAGGAATGTTATATAATGAAAATAGCCAATAGCTAATGTGCTGTATCAAAATACATAAACACAAACATGTTTTACAAAGAAATATAAATTCTGCTGATTCACCATCACATTTGATTTATACTGAACAAAAATATAAACGCAACATGTAAAGTGTTGGTCCCATGTTTCATGAGCTGAAATAAAAGATCCCCGAAATTTTCCATACGCACAAAAAGCTTATTTCTCTCAAATTTGGGGCACCAATTAGTTTACATCCTTGTTAGTGAGCATTTCTCCTTTGCCAAGATAATCCATCCACCTGACAGGTGTGGCATATCAAGAAGCTGATTAAACAACATGATCATTACACAGGTGCACCTTGTGCCGGGGACAATAAAAGGCCACTCTAAAATGTGCAGTTTTGTTACACAACACAATCTCAAGTTTTGAGTGAGCATGCAGTTGTCATGCTGACTGCAGGAATGTCCACCAGAGCTGTTGCCAGAGAATCTAATGTTAATTTCTCTACCATAAGCTGCCTCCAACGTCGTTTTAGAGAATTTGGCAGTACGTCCAACCGGCCTCACAACCGCAGACCACGTATGGTGTTGTGTGGGCGAGCGGTTTGCTGATGTCAACGTTGTAGACAGAGCGCCCCATGGTGGCGGTGGGGTTATGGTATGGGCAGGCATAAACTATGGACAACGAACATAATTGTATTTTATCGATGCCAATTTGAATGCAGATACCGTGACGAGATCCTGAGGCCCATTGTCGTGCCATTCATCCGCTGCCATCACCTCATGCTTCAGCATGATAATGCACGGCCCCATATCGCAAGGATTTGTACACAATTCCTGGAAGCTGAAAATGTCCCAGTTCTTCCATGGCCTGCATGCTCACCAGACATGTCACCCATTGCACCGTTGAGCATGTTTGGGATGCTCTGGATCAATGTGTACGACAGCATGTTCCAGTTCCCGTCAATATCCAGGAAGTTCGCACAGCCATTGAAGAGGAGTGGGACAACATTCAACAGGCCACAATCAACAGCCTGATCAACTCTATGCAAAGGAGATGTGTTGCGCTGCATGAGGCAAATGGTGGTCACGCCAGATACTGACTGGTTTTTTGATCTTTTTTTTTAAGGTATCTGTGACCAACAGATGCATATCTGTATTCCCAGTCATGTGAAATCCATAGATTACGGCCTAATGAATTTATTTCAATTGACTGATTTCCTTATATGAACTGTAACTCAGTAAAATCTTTGAAATTGTTGCATGTTGCGTTTATATTTTTGTTCAGTATATATACATCCAAAACCTTTACAAATGCACCCATTTACAGTTGTTTGTTTTATTATTGCTATCTAAATAAATTACAAATAGCAGTTTTAAAACAATTATACAATACAGCATTGTTAAATGTAAATTAAATGTTAAATTCTATGTACAATTGAGTCATAGCATGATATATTATTCTAACAGCGTTACTGACTAATGAAACCAATAAACACATTCTAAGTCTCAGAAAATAGATGCAAAACCACTTTGATTTAGCCTCATTTGTTGTCCTGTGAGTCTCTCTGGAATCTCAGTCTCCAGTGAACCTAACAAGTACTTTTGTCCTCATTCTCATTATTTTGTTACCACAGACCTGAAAGGCCTCCATCATTTTATTGCTCACCAGCTTGCCCCCTTCAAGTGTCTCCTCTCCATCTTCTCCCTCCTCACTCATTACACATAAGCCCCTCCCCCCCAGTAAAGCTCTCCTCTGTGGTCCTCCGGGCCTCACGGGACAGCCTCTCAAACCTCCTCAGGAACACGACCACAGCAGCCAGCAGCCCCGCCTGCACCACCACAAACACAAACAGACACACCTGGGAGGCCAGTGCCAAGTCACAGTACCAGTAGTGACAGGACTCCAGCACCTCCTCCTCAGCCAGGTAGACCACCAGCCTCCCTCGCAGGCGGGGAGGGGAATTGCAGGTGATGTTGCTGTGGCCAGTGTAGTTGGTAGGTTGTCGGAGCAGCCAGGCACGCAGGTAGAGCACGCCGCAGTCACATGCCCAGGGGTTTCCATGGAGAGACAAAGAGTGGAGGGAAGAGAGGAAGTCCAGAAGGCCGTTGGGGAGCGTGGTCAGCTGGTTGTCGTGGAGACGGAGCTCGGTGGTGGCAGGAGGGAAGCGGGAGGGTAAGGAGGAGGTGGTGAGGGCATGGCCGCTGCAGTCTACCTGAGCACCATGACAGGAGCAGTACAGGGGACAGCCTGATGACCCTTGAACCCTCCCTGGGGTCAACAAGAGGAGGAGAAGACCCAGGAGTGGGGTCACACATGGCATGAACCCCCTCATCATTACTGCCAACTCTGGAGAGAGAGAGGGAGGGACATGTCATATTGAAATGGTGGAGGGAAAACAATTCCAACTCATGTCTGTGGATGTCTTTGCCATGTGAGGGATGCAGATATCATTTTAGTGTGAGAAATGAGTCATTAAAAGAGAACGTGTCATTCCAAGCAAGGGAGATAACAACGCAAAGGAATACATATTTCCGGAGAGCGGGTGCCAGAGGCGCTAGTTTGAATTCTTGAAATAAAGTGATGATTAACAACACTGTAATAGTGCCCTTGTTAAGTAAAATAACTAGTGAGAAAATAGGGACAGTGAGGTTTCACAACTTGGGACAGTGTTGCAGGGTCAGGCAGATCACCTTGCCTCTCTCCATGTAACAGTTAAAGTTGGAGTTTGTGTTTACCTAATATTATAAACATAACTAACATCTAACCATGCACAGAAGAATGAGTTACTACTGTGTAATGTCTATTTTGAGGATTTGAAAATGACATCTAACCTTTGATCTTAATAACAATTCAGGGTAACACAACATTTTAATGGGTCCTTATTACAGTGTAATTACACTGTAACAAGTATTGTAGTTAATTTTACTAACTCATAGTTACACTGTAATAACAACATGTAACTGGTGGTAATTGCAGTCTGTAATTACAGAGGTGTTACAACAAATGCTTGTTACCATGCTTGTTACAAATGGGCAAGTTTCCACTAAATTCACCAATTTAGTGTTTTATTTCTTCTCCACTGCATCTGATTCAGTAATAACTATCACAAGGTTGTAACCCCTTGTGGACAGATGTGCTGGGTGTCCGAGATTAAAGGTTGGAGGCTCAATAGGCTAGAATTACCTACTCTTCAAAATCTCCACTCAATATTGTTGCTAGCACTTTCCCAAAAAAAAGTGTACCATCTGTGTTAACTTGGTTGAGTTTACAAAAACAGATCAGATATAGGTCAACCTCACTGACTGGGGTCTACCATATGGGTGTCATCCCAGATTATAATGTTAAAAAATACTTACAATGAATGTATTCGTTACCCATTATGACAACCTGAACCTCCTTGCCATCCAAGTGAGAGGTTAAACCCACAAGTACACCAGAGAGTACATGTAATATCTGCATAAATACAATGTAATTACTAGGTGTATCACCGGATTTAGCTAGTTAAAATGAAGTATATATTGAGGTGTACTTACTTGTAATTATTGTGTACCTACAAAGTACGTTACCCATTCTGACAAACTAATCATCATCTTCTGAAAGCGCCATCCAAGTCAGAAAATCAACACAGTAATACACCACAGAGTACATATCTGTAATATCTGCATAAGTACACGGTTGTCGCTAGTTGTTACACAGGACTTTGCTATTTAAAGTTAAGTGTAACTTTATAGTTACCTATGAGCAATTTCTATATAATGACTTATTACTCATTACCAAGTGAAAATGCCTACAAACAAAAGATGAGCTTCTAGTTTGGTCAACTTTATTGCAACATGTAAAATACCTTACATTTCTTACAAAATAAGAAATTGATTTGTATTGTTAGATGAATCAATTGATTAATTAGATTAAACACTCAATAACTCAATAACATAAAAATAACTATTCTAGTGGTGACTCAAATCTGTAGCCTCTAGTATGGCGAATAGCCTAGATAACTAGCTAATTTAGAAAAATGGGATTGTCTTTTTCTTCCTTTTTAACATTACAAGTAACAATGGAAATCGACAACTCTGTATATAATATAAATAATAATATGCCATTTAGCAGACGCTTTTATCCAAAGCGACTTACAGTCATGCGTGCATACATTTTTTTGTGTATGGGTGGTCCCGGGGATCGAACCCACTACCATGGCGTTACAAGCGCCGTGCTCTACCAGCTGAGCTACAGAGGACAACAGAGGACCACCGATGTATCTGACTGTCTTCATCAGTTTCTTTTTGTAAGCATTTTCCCATCCTGGAGTCTGAGACCTGTGGTAGAGAAAATGAATGTATGACAATTTAGCATAGACACTATACATTACCCCTAGTTATCATCATCATGATTTCTATAGTTTAGGCAAACAGCTAGCTAGACCTAGCTGCTACCTAGATAGTTGTTCTGTTATCCAGCAAGCAGTAATAGTGTTTGTGTTGACACAAGTAGCTCAGGTAATACCCTTGGGGGTACAGATACCCTGAGAAGGTGGTTTAGGGACGATAAGACCATCGATCCCAGCTAACGTTAGCTAGCTAGTTAGCTTGCGAGTACCGACTATAGCATATTTGCCAGCGACTATATCATATTTGACAGCTTTAGGTACAGCCAATGTTAGAAAACTAGCTAGCTAGCATGCTAGCTAATCCAGAAAAAATCAACAGATTACATGGAAAGTATATTCTGTAGATGGTAACTAGCCCAACAAAAACGCCAGTTAACGTTTGCTAGCTAAATAGCTAAAGTTAGCTAGCTACAGTTAGCTTAGCTAGCTAACTACCTACCGGTATGCTAAAACGTCCAGCAGAATTCAATTATGCAAAAAGACTAAACAAATTGCATGGAAAACTTACTTTCTCATTCCTGTGATGACGTTTTTGACCTACAACACTTTCGCAGCAATCGATAATGTCTGGATTTTGCACACTGACCTTTTCCGCCCGTTCTTTGCACACTGGTACATGATGTCAGCGTCAACACGTGTAGGCACATTCGATATCTTCTTTATTTCGAACGTGTTGCGCAGATGTGCAGATTTCGACATGATGCCTTAATTCTGGGATAAATAAATGATTGCACCAATGCATCCCATCCAAAATTGAGAATGTTCCTCAACAGTGAAACCCTTGCAAGGTTACATGATGGTCTTATGACCATTTTAAGTGCATTTATAAACCATTATTAAACCAAGCTTAATAGGCTTAATATTTGGCAAGCAGGAATGATTGTCACAATTTTAACCATAACTGTTAAATGAATGTGTCTAAAAATGTTTAATTGGTGGTTAAAGTAATTGACCCATTGTCAAATTCACCATTAAAGGATTTAACAATTTAAAGTATTTTTTGACGTGAACCGTTTGTGCCATTGGGCCTGGGCATCAGACTCCAGATCTTTATTGCAGAGTTGTGTCAATCAGACTCCAGATCTTGTGTCAATGGTTTTCAATTGGCTAACACTTATCATGTGGTTTGTGCAGGGTGAAATATGGTGCGTTGGGATGCTATCAGAAACGTTCACATTTGTAACAAGCATGGTAAGAAGCATTCCATCTGTAATTACAGACAGCGATTACCACCAGTTTACATGTTGTTATTAAAGTGTAAATATGAATTATTACAATTAATTACAATACTTGTTGTAATTACACTGTAATAAGGACCCCTTAACATTTTTATTTTATTTATTTTTGATTTAACCTTTATTTAACTAGACAAGTCAGTTAAGAATAAATTCTTATTTACCATGACAGCCTACCAAAAGGCAAAAGGCCTCCTGCAGGGACGGGGGCTGGGATTAAAAAATATATAAATATAGGACCAAACACTCATCACAGCAAGAGAGACAACACTACATAAAGAGAGACCTAAGACAACAACATAGCATGGCATCAACACACGACAACACAGCAAGGTAGGAACCCAACATGAAAACAACATGGTAGCAACACAACATGGCAGCAGCACAATACATGGTACAAACATTATTGGGCACAGACAACAGCACAAAGGGCAAGAAGGTAGAGACAACACATCGCATGAAGCAGCCACAACTGTCAGTAAGAGTGTCCATGATTGAGTCTTTGAATGAAGAGATGGAGATAAAACTGTCCAGTTTGAGTGTTTTTTGCAGCTCGTTCCAGTCGCTAGCTGCAGCGAACTGGAAAGAGCAGCGACCCAGGGATGTGTATGCTTTGGGGACCTTTAACAGAATGTGACTGGCAGAACGGTTGTTGTATGTGGAGGATGAGGGCTGCGGTAGGTATCTCAGATAGGGTGGAGTGAGGCCTTTTGTAAATAAGCATCAAACATAAGAAGTGTTACAAAATTCAATTATACACCACAGTAGTTGTTCTCTACAACTACCGCTGGAAGAAAAACGTATCTTTGACAGGTTATTCAGACATCTGAGACCATTCTCTAATCATACACTGAGGCTGCCTAATAAAACAGTAAAGTTATGGTCATACTGAAAGGTGTTATGGTCTTGTTATGGTCAGGAGAGGGTGCCTTACCTTCCCTGTTGCGTGTGTTCATAGCAGGAGTGGTTGGCGAGACTGTGCTACTAGTCACTCAGAGGCATGAAAGTGTATGAAGTCACAGCTGGCTTGCACTGATAACGCACCCTGACTCTCACACATGCACACACACACTTCTGATTGGACACAGGAAGCACGTATTAATTTCACGCCAGCAGCATTTGATTCCTTATCACTGCCCATAGAGCCTCCTGTCTGGGAGGCCAGATGTAAGTTTCAGGGGGTTTTATGGATACAGTTAATACTTCCTTCTCTCTGGGTACAATCCAGGGTAAACTGTCCCTACAATGGCTCGTAAGTTCACAATCTCCCACAGTTACTATACTATGGCTGCAGCAAGGCCCTTCTCATCATTCAGCTCCATACAGTCAGATGAGTTAGTGATAGATCTGACACTGTGGGCCAGAGGTGGTGAGGTCCAAGGAGATAAATTGTGACTCAGGGCTTTATTCAGCTACAGTAGCCAGACTTTCCCCACCCAGGCCTGCCTGCATGGGGCCTACAGAATGTAAATTACCTGTATAGTGCTCTACGGCTCCGGTCAAAAGGAGTGCACTATATAGGGTGCCATTTGGGATGCAGGCAAGACCTTGCTTGCATAATTATTAGTGACCGTAAGATCGTACTAGAAACCATATAGTATATTTAGGAAACAATTCAGCTAAAGAAATAACGAAGAAACACATGAATCCAGACTGTTTATTCGTCATCATAACCAGGTTACTAGTTCCACCATGTTTTCTGAGCACTAGCACTATAAAAAGCCACAATCACCATCCTGAACAACACAGCCAGAGGGCAGCATACACCACACACACTATATGCCATTTTGGACAAAAGCATATACAGTAGCTGCTCTTAATATTTGGCCTATTTTTACCGTCACATAGTGGTACTGAGGCGTAGTTCAAAATGCATTTAAGAACAAACACATTGCATCGTAGGAGAGTGGAAATGCAGCTGTAAGCAGTTATGAGTAACTTCTGCATGCTTGCTTGCACATGCACCACTTATTGTACCTACCCTTTCATTAGCTATGTATGTCAAAGGATCTCAATTCACTAAGGTAAACAAATGGCGCTGAATACATTTTCAATCTGACTTGCAAGCACCAAAACATCATTATAAAAAAGAAAACAAAAGAAAGGTCTTCCCAACAAGTACCATGTAGAGACCAGCAGTAAAAAGGTAATAAGTTACATTTATGTTTAGATTCTTAGGTAGCCTATTATTAAGTTTGTACCAACAGCAAAAGTACAAGAAATGCCACAAAGGGAAAACGGATTCTCACAGTATCAAAGCAGAATAAGGTTCTCGTAATAGAGGGTCATACATATGGAATCACACAGACACACACGCTCAACATCAACAAAGATTCAAACCTTAACATCAGTAATATTGCTGTTTTACAAAACATCTTATTATGCGTACTCATAACCTGACAGAATATCCCCAAAGTATTCAGCATATTTATAAATTAGATATATTTTAACAGGTCATTTAAATAACTTGTTTATATTATGTCATATGCTATTAGGACCGTTAATTATATTAATGGGGTTCAAATGGACACCAGGTACAGTAAAAAACTAAATCCACACCACATGTATCCTTGCAGGACAGACCAAATAAATAAAAGCACAAAAAAAAAAAAATGACCAATGAATATACAGCTACTGTTTCCCCCCCCAAACACAATGCTGATTATATCAGTAAGTAACATGTTGGTATGTATGGTATTGTTTGCATTTGTTCGTCTGAAGTTGTGGATGTAGTTCAGTGGCTGGCCAGCAGATGGGGCTGTAGCCCGGGTCTGCCGCAGAGGAGGCTCACTAGTCCTTCCCATCATGGATATGCTGCTGCATCTTATTCAGCATCTCCTGCATCCTCGCCAACTGGAGCGAGAGTGAGATAGAGAGCGAGAGATAGAGATAGAAAGATTGAGTGGTAATGACATCTTTCTATAAACTGGAGACTAGCCTGTATGGGTGATGTTACCCATAATTACATATCAGTTTACCTCTTCATCTTTCATCTTGATGAGTCTATCGGTCTCCACATCGGGGGTGGGCAGGGGCAAGATGGGGATCGGGCTCTCCATTCGGTTGTCTTGCGTCATTTTACTGAGGGGAAAACAAACAGGTAACATGAATACAGACTCATACACAAGGGCATGCAATATTAATAAACAAAACTAAAGATAAAAATCAACATCAGCAATAAACCAAGCAACTCATACTTTCTCTTGCATTCTCTCTGACCTCTACAGTATAAACACACACACAGCCGTGCACACACGCACACACACACCTGGTCATGTCCTGTATACACTGCGCTCTGTAGTTCTCATAGTGCACATCACAGGTCACGTCTTTGAGGTCGTGCATGTGGGAGCGGATCAATATGTTCCTCAGCTTCACAAAGTCACAGTGAGACTGGTTCTCCACTGAAACACAAACAAACAGACAGACTGGATCATATTACAATGAGATGATTTGCTGAGATAAAACATTCCTTCTGTTGTATCCACCAGCACTGAGTCCTATTAGGGACGTGGATTTCTGCTTGACCAAGTGATCTGAGCAAGAAAACTCCTGAGCCTAATCATAATGCATTGGTTGGGTATTTTAAAATTGTTTTTCATAGTTTGAGTTGTAGTAATATTTCCTTCAAAATTGTCATATGTGAGGAAAAGCATGTTCTACCACGCAACTTAAGAGTCAAAGCCCTGAGTAATATTGTTGCGTCCTCCATTGTTGTCACCCACCTTCCACAATGCCCCATGGGTAAAGTCTCCCTCTCACTCTCTGGCCCCTGGCCTCAACCACAGTGTTACTGCCAATCACCGCAAACGGACAGCACTCCTACACACACACACGATTTGGCATGATAGATTGACAAGGGATGGTTGAGTTTAGTGGTCTCGTTCCACTTGTACATTTCTTATTGATGTTCAGGCTCCAGCTGTGTGTCTCACCTTCAGCTCTTTGTCCAGTTGTTTAAACTCCTCGTCCTCATCAGAGTCACACTCTGGGAACTGGTATACCTTAATGCCAAACCTCTCGATCTCCTCACGGACCTACACACACACACACGCCACATTGCACTGGGTGAGACATTGTTTGGAGGGGAGCGCCGAGGTTCTGAGGGAGTTGCGCTTACCTAAACAAATGAAAATGACTAACTTCCCAACGTTCCTGCAGCCAACCTTACCATCATAATGTGACACCTGCTTCAGTAGTTGCAGTCTGTCTGCTCTGATGGACTCACCCTGTCTTTGAGTTTCTTGATCTCGTTGGGAGTGAGACAGTCAGCCTTGGCTATGAGAGGAACTACATTCACCTTCTCATGGAGAGCCTTCATAAACTCAACATCTACTGGACGCAGTCTACAAGGGATAGAAGGAGACGGACCTGGTCAGTGTGTGTGCATTCCATGGAGGAAAGCGCACTCTGACTATGAGTAAGGTGGAGAATAATAACAGGGTTTGCTGGTTGAGTTGTACTGGTGCTGTTTACATAGTATCTTACAGGTATATGCTCCTCCTGTCATCACATTCAGGACGTTTTATTACGATCTAGTCATCACAGCTATACCTGTCACTACCCCATCACATTCCTCTCTGTGTGTGTGTGTGTGTGTGTGTGTGTTACCCATGTCCAAAAGGAGGTATGAAGTAGAGGCAGCAGTGGACTCTGTTGTCCTGGATGTTCTTCCTGTTCAGTCCACTCTCATCTCTGAAGTACTGCTCAAACTGCTGGTCAATGTAGTCTGTGATGGGCTTCCAGCTACACTCACACACAAACACACACGTCACAATCAGTCAAGGCTTACAGGAACAACATACAAGATCATTGCCGCCATCATTCCTATTTTAGGTCAATCTACTAACCCATACAGAAGCCGTACCCCTTTCCTGCAGTCAAATTACCAAATCGCCCTCTAGTGGCCTCATGCTGGAATGTTATTAACAAACATAATTTCAAAAAACCCGCCGAAAATCCGGTGTTTCTATGTCAAATGGTTTTGTTACAGTTCAGTCTTCTGTAATGTATATAGTTAAGCAATAAGGCCAGAGGAGGTGTGGTATATGGCTAAAATATCACGTCTAAGGGCTGTTCTTATGCACGATGCAACGCAGAGTGCCTAGCTGTGGTATACTGGCCATATACCACAAACCCCTGAGGTGCCTTTTTGCTTTTATAAACTGGTAACCAACGTAATTAGAACAGTAAAACATTTTTCTTTGGTCATACCCGTGGTATACCAATCAGCATTCAGGGCTCGAACCACCCAGTTTATAAAGTGTAATATTGGGATGCAAACTCAAAATTGAATACATTTCAACTCTATATCTGACATGGTACAGGTGTCTTCTTTTTTTAAAGCCCATAACCATGTGTGTGAGGTGTATACTTTTGTTTCAAAGTAGATTTGTTTAAGACTACCAAGAATCACTGTATGACCCTGATTTAGCCCACTGCAGTAAAATGTTAAAGAGTTTGTAGGATCATGGCAGGGCTAGGACAGGATTAGTTGAGGACTAGAGTTATCTCACCATTCATTGTTGTTGACAGCGTCTCCAAAGCCTGGTGTGTCTACAATGGTCAGCTTCAGCTTCACTCCTTTCTCCTCAATGTCCACCGTGTGCTTAATGATCTCAACTGTCTGGTTGATACGCTCTGAGAAAGGGAAGGCGAGAGGTAGGGATGGAGGGAAGAGAACCTCTGATGAGATGGCATTTTTTTTTGCTGTTGTTGACATTTGGAGGTGTGTGTGTGTGCGCACGAATGCGTGTGTGTTACTCACCCTCAGCATTGAGTAGTTTCCTGTCCTTGTACAGGTCTGTGAGGAACAGGCTGTTGACCAGAGTAGATTTACCCATACCAGACTCCCCTGTAACATGATATACAGTTGAAGTCGGAAGTTTACATACACATAGGTTGGAGTCATTAAAACACGTTTTTCAACCACTCCACACATTTTTTGTTAACAAACTATAGTTTTGGCAAGTTGGTTAGGACATCTACTTTGTGCATGACACAAGTAATTTTTCCAACAATTGTTTACAGACAAATTATTTCACTTATAATTCACTGTATCACAATTCCAGTGGGTCTGAAGTTTACATACACTAAGTTGACTGTGCCTTTAAACAGCTTGGAAAATTCCAGAAAAGGATGTCATGGCTTTAGAAGCTTCTGATAGGCTAATTGACATCATTTGAGTCAATTGGAGGTGTACCTGTGGATGCATTTCAAGGCCTACCTTCAAACTCAGTGCCTCTTTACTTGACATCATGGGAAAATCAAAAGAAATCAGCCAAGACCTCAGAAAAAAATTTGTAGACCTCCACAAGTCTGGTTCATCCTTGGGAGCAATTTCCAAACGCCTGAAGGTACCACGTTCAGCTGTACAAACAATAGTTCGCAAGTATAAACACCATGGGACCACGCAGCCGTCATACCGCTCAGGAAGGAGACGCGTTCGGTCTCCTAGAGATGAACGTGGTGAAAAGTGTAAATCAATCTCAGAACAACAGCAAAGGACCTTGTGAAGATGCTGGAGGAAACAGGTACAAAAGTATCTATATCCACAGTAAAACAAGTCCTATATCGACATAACCTGAAAGGCCGCTCAGCAAGGAAGAAGCCACTGCTCCAAAACTTTTTGGAGAAATGTCCTCTGGTCTGATGAAACAAAAATAGAACTGTTTGGCCATAATGACCATTGTTACATTTAGAGGAAAAGGGGGTTGCTTGCAAGCCGAAGAACACCATCCCAACCGTGAAGCACAGGGGTGGCAGCATCATGCTGTGGGGCTGCTTTGCTGCAGGAGGGACTGGTGCACTTCACAAAATAGATGGCATCATGAGGAAGGAAAATTATGTGGATATATTGAAGCAACATCTCAAGACATCAGTCAGGAAGTTAAAACTTGGTCGCAAATGGGTCTTCCAAATGGACAATGACCCCAAGCATACTTCCAAAGCTGTGGCAAAATGGCTTAAGGACAACAAAGTCAAGGTATTGGAGTGGCCATCACAAAGCCCTGACCTCAATCCTATAGAAAATGTGTGGGCAGAACTGAAAAAGTGTGTGTGAGCAAGGAGGCCTACAAACCTGACTCAGTTACACCAGCTCTGTCAGGAGGAATGGGCCAAAATTCACCCAACTTATTGTGGGAAGCTTGTGGAAGGCTACCCGAAATGTTTGACCCAAGTTAAACAATTTAAAGGCAATGCTACCAAATACTAATGGAGTGCATGTAAACTTCTGACCCACTGGGAATGTGATGAAAGAAATAAAAGCTGAAATAAATCATTCTCTCTACTATTATTCTGACATTTCACATTCTTAAAATAAAGTGGTGATCCTAACTGACCTAAGACAGGGATTTTTTTACTAGGATTAAATGTCAGGAATTGTGAAAAACTGAGTTTAAATGTATTTGGCTAAGGTGTATGTACATTTCCAACTTCAACTGTACATACATACACTGCCGTTCAAAAGTTTGGGGTCACTTAGAAATTCCTTGTTTTCGAAAGAAAAGCATTTTTTTTGTCCATTAAAATAACATCAAATTGATCAGAAATACAGTGTAGACATTGTTAATGTTGTAAATGGCTATTGCGTCTCACAGGTCCTCAACTGGTAGCTTCATTAAATAGTACCCGCAAAACACCAGTCTCAACGTGAGGACCTGTGAGACGCAATAGCCATTTACAACATTAACAATGTCTACGCTGTATTTCTGATCAATTTGATGTTATTTTAATGGAAAAAAAGTTGATTTTCTTTCGAAAACAAGGACATTTCTAAGTGACCCCAAACTTTTGAATGGTAGTGTACATACATACACACACAGACACACATGGCCATCAACACTAACACAGAGTGAACATTCATGAACACACATTAAGTACTTAATAGCACTGTGTCGTTTTACTTCTTTAAGAAGGCTACAATAAATACTTTCACTGACCGGCGACCATGAGGGTGAAGTCAAATCCCTTTTTCACTGACTTCCTGTGCACCTGGTTAGGGAGGGTGGCAAAACCCACATACTGCTTCTCCTGAGAGAGAGAGAGAGAGAGAGAGAGAGAGAGAGAGAGAGAGAGAGAGACAGTCAGAGATCAAGTCAAAGCAACATTCCCAAGAGCTGAATGAATGTGCGCAAAACTACCATTGAAATTAAAATACATTTACATTTTAGTAATTTAGCAGAGGCTCTTATCCAGAGCGACTTAGTTCTTAGACTTAGTAACTTAGTTAGTGAGTGCATACATTTTCATACTTGCCCCCCGTGGAAACGAACCCACAACCCTGGCATTGCAAGCGCCAAGCGCCATGCTCTACCAACTGAGCTACAGGGGACTACAGCTGAAATTCAAACTCAACTCAACCCACCATGCTACAATTACAGTATGGACAAATACGTTGACAATAGGAGGGAGGAAAGGGGGAAAATGCATTCATGACATTCCATTTAGAATCTCTAAGACCTGGCGCTGCGCTTTTTCCACACACACAGACAGACAGAGAAAAGTATGACCGATCTATGACTTTTCCACTACACAATGGCGCGCACAGCTGTCTTACTGGCAGCTCTCCCCATCCCCTTCTGACACCATTCACACATCATCCAAAGCTGCTCCTTACACAGACCCTACAGAACTGAAGACTCCATACACACCACCACCCCATCCCCTTCTGACACCATTCACACATCATCCAGGTCCCCTGTAGCTCAGTTGGTAGAGCATGGCGCTTGCAACGCCAGGGTTGTGGGTTCGTTTCCCACGGGGGGCCAGTATGAAAATGTATGCACTCACTAACTGTAAGTCGCTCTGGATAAGAGCGTCTGCTAAATGACTAAAATGTAAATGTAAAATCCAAAGCTGCTCCTTACACAGACCCTACAGAACTGAAGACTCCATACACCCACCCCCCCCCCCCCCCCACCACACACACACACACAGCCTTGCCAGTCTACCAACGCAGAGTCTGGCAGCCAACAGAGGCTGACAGAGGCTGTATTGACCAGGCCTGAATGGCCCTTTTTAAACCTAAAACAAACAAACACACATGCCAAAGAAATACTCAGTCAGGGTCTATTATAAGTTGTCATAACCTGTCATATGCATTTCCGACAGCCCCTGGGGCACGGCTTAACTTCCAACACATGCACACACACAAACAAACACAGTCACATGACATGGAATAGAGCCAGGGCTGAAGTCACACACCCAGAATACGGAAATCTACAGCGCTGGTTTCATAATCAATGAGTAATCATACAAACGTCTGATTTACTTCTAGGGTGTGTTTGGGAACACAAATCCCACAGACAGAACAATCAAACTATCCATAAATCTGTCATGAACCCATCAGGACATGACTTAAGACAATAGTATGTTCTATCCACCTTCATACTAACATGACATGTTAGAGAGAGAAAGGTGTGTTTATGAGAAATTTCCGAGTGTGTGTGTGACATTGACCCCTCTCCCTTCTCTTTCTCTCTCCCAGGTCTCCCTCTATCCTCTCTCTCCCTCTCTCGACTGTCATGTTCCAGTTTTTTTACCTTCTGTCTGGAGGTTTTGACTCGATGGCAAAGCAAGCGTTCCACCAGTTTCTCCTGCAGCATGATAGCATCCATACCAAGCCAACACCACACCAACACCACACCAACAGGGGAAATGTTTTCCAACGGAGGACAAAAACAGAGCAACCTCTTCACACGCCAACGCTTCTCTTCTCTCTACACCTCTCTAACCCTCCGTTCGTCCACACTCATCTCAATACACGTCTTTCCTGTTTTGTCCTTCAATTTGTCTTTGTTCCTACTCCTTCTCGCCTCATCTCCCTTTATTTCCACTCTTTCTCTTTCTCCTCTGCCCCACAGCGCTCCACTGCTCCCTGTTCAGACAGGTAGGGAGGAATACTGACAGAGAGAGGAGAGAGCTAATAAGGTGGGGGGGGGGAATAAAATGGGAGGAGAGAAAGAGGTAGTAAGAGGTAGCAATTTAGGGGAGGAAGCGAGGGATGGGGGAGGAAGCGAGGGACGGGGGAGGAAAGTGAAGGAATAAAAGACACTCATTCACCCTGTAGTCCCTCCCCCTTTTCGACCTTTAGAAAAATAAAGCACTGACTGCTACAGTTACGACCTATAGCAGCCCAGAGCAAGAGAGAGAGAGAGACAGAAAGACAGACAGGAGAGGGCTAAACAATCTAGCCCATATCTGACCATAATAGTGATCATTTGTCAAAGAACAACAGTGTCCTATAACAGAGACACAAACCCTCTGTGTGGTTCAAGTGTGGACTTGTACAAGTCAGTAACCTGTCACACAGAGCTTAGTGAAGCTAGTAGGGACTCTCAACCCACCCCTGGGATGACAATAGCCAGAGATGTGGTCAAATGAAGAGCCTAGCCCACGTCTAGACTGCACATTAGCCATACAAAAACAAGTCATGGCTGTGGAAATGACACTAAAAGAATCAAAGGAGCCGTTCTCTCATTAGAAATGTATGTAGTGGTACCAGAGGCCCCACTTCTCCACACACTGTGAAACAAGACAGGCCGTGGTGGACAATTGTTGCCAGATGTTGGCCTATGGTGTGTGTGTGTGGGGTGGGGGGGGGGGGGGGGTTCAGTGGTGGGTTCAGGACGGGACACAGGTTTCAGGACAACTGGAGCTCAGAAAGCTATGACACCCCAGGCAGAATGGGAAGCATCTACAGAGGACATTCTATCTATGGTATGTTTGTGTAACTACTAATCAAGCCCTTGAATAGCTGTATCAGATGTATTAGTGCTGGGTTGGACCAAAAGCCTTAACTCACTGTGGATCCCAAGGACCTTTCTTCATGGGATATCTCCAGAAGCTGTAATACCAAGCTCCTTCACATGAGGGAGACAGAGCTAAACAGAACAAAGGTACAGTACATTATGAAGGCATTAGCAGCAGAAATGTTCTATGCTATGTAGCCAGGCTAATGTTTTTAGGAAGAGATAGGAACACACCTCAGATACCAGCAATTGAAGGAAAACTTGACTCACTCAAGAGTGAATCAAATAAAGTGACAAAATGAGCAGCAGATTTGTGTGACTTAATGGAAGCTGCTGCTCTGGTGTGTGTGTGTGTGTGTGTGTGTGTGTGTGTGTGTGTGGTGGGGGGTGATGAGAAAATGAACGGAGGAGTGCAGGGGGACGAGGGCGGAGGCTTGTGCTGGGTTGGGATCCAACTGCTGCCAATACAGGTTGACACGGGTAAGAGGGGGCAGAAATAGGAGAGTATCCATCCATTCTTTCTCAAGTGGTGAGCCAGTAGAGTGGTAGGAGTGAGGGAGGGGTGGGGGAGTACAGACGCTGTAAAGGAGGCAGTAGAGGGGAGGGTACGAAGGACGGGGGTTAGAGTACGGTGCTGAGGAGGAGTTGGGGTACAGAGGTTAATGGTGGTGCTTGAGGTGAACCAATTCTCTCTCAAACCTAGTAATCAAGGCCAGTGAATGGTGAAAATGAGGAAGAGTGGAAGGGGGCTGGCGTAGTGGGGTAGGGGATGGAGGATCCAGATAGCAGGGACAGGGCCAGAGAGTGGTGAGCGCTGTGTGTGTGTTTAGGTGAGGGGGGGGGGCTGTCTGAATGGAACAGATGTCCTAGAGTGACATCACAATAGCCCTCTTCAGGCCCCTCCCTCTCACTGGCCAGCTGTCCCTCTGGCCTCTAGTAGGTCACTGCACCTTGAGCTCTCTCTCACTCGCCTTCACACACACACACACACACACACACACACACACAGATGCACGTGCACACACGTAAACATACACACATGGATACAGCTGACATCAGTTTGATAAAGCACATCCTATGGACAGTGTTTAAGGGAGGCCATGTGGAAGCCACTTTTCAGGGACACAGTAAGACAGTGAAAACCATCTCCATCTCATCCATTACTTCCTGTGTGTCTGTCTGTCTGACCTCTGGGGCTGAAACATGATAGGAGAGACCAGTAAGCTGTCTGTCTGCTGCACCTATCACACTATATGCTTCCCAAATGGCACCCTATTCATTTATAGAGCACTACTTTTGACCATGGCCCATTGGGACACAACTACTGATACCTTGGGCTCTGCCTGTGTGGTTATTAGCTGCTAACCAGTCAAAACGCTCCATAATGTGAGGTGCAGGGGATTAAACGTTGAGAGTCATCCGAGGCCAAGCCCAGTCCTACTGATGACAGAGAGACACACACACACTTTCCCCTCCAGCTGACCACAACTAGAGGTCAAATATACACTGTCTGAATGCTCAGTGACTTCCTTCCCTTTAGAAATACACACACACAGCCTTCCTGCTGGATCCAGAGACATTGAGCCAGAGATCAGTCAGTCACACAGTTAGATGCACTGGTCTTCTTGTTGACTGTTGTGGTCTTTCAGGAAGCTCTTCTGAAAAGGCCACAGCAGTAAACTACACACCTATTACAGTGGACAAGTGCACACACACACACACACAGCTCCAGGGACAGGAGATGTGGAGAGGATACATTCTGTGATGTAGATATAAAGAGAGGTGATCTTTCCTGATGACATCACAGTCCTGTCCAACCATGCTTTTATACACAATTAAAGTCTGAATGCAGCAACAAATGGTGGCAGGGTGTTAGACCAAATATGAGTACAGAGAAAGAGAAGGAGATAAAGAGAAAGGGGGAAAGATAGAGGAATGGAGGGAGGTAGACGGGAAACATGGAGAGATAGAGAAAAAGAGGAGGAAGAGAAAGAGAGGGTGAAGTGGGAAAAGAGGGGGAACGATGGTGGAATTTGAAAGATGGAGAGAATGAAGATGAGAAAGAGAGGCTCTTTGGAGCCCCATCCCCCCCATCTGTAGTGTTTGTTCTCCTTGGAGACGTGAGTCTCTGGGTGCTAGGCTCTTCAGCATGCTAATCTAACAGCGTGTAATTGGCCTGGCAACAATAGGCCTTCTAAAGGACACTTGGCTAGCATAGCGTAGCCTAGCGTTAGCGTCTGCCCATTCCGCAAAACAATAGGCTCTTCCACAGCCAAGCTCCAAATTGGCCCATAGCCCATCCTTGTAAGCACTTGAGTAGATCTGTAAAGATTAGATAGGTGTAATTTATGTATCGTATAAATAGTTCCTAACCTATCAGAGCACAAGGTGGAACTGTTAGCCACCATATACCAATATACAGTGCATTCGGAATGTATTCAGACCCCTTTACTTTTTCCACATTGTTACGTTAGTCTTATTCTAAAATGGATTAAATTGTTTTTATTCCCCCTCAATCTACACACAATACCCCATAATGACAAAGCAAAAACAGGTTTTTAGAAAGTTTTGCAAATGTATAAAAAAAAAAAACTGAAATATCACATTTACATAAGTATTCAGATCCTTTACGCAGTACTTTGTTGAAGAACCTTTGGCAGCGATTACAGCCTCGAGTCTTCTTGGGTATGACGCTACAAGCTTGGCACACATGTATTTGCTGAGTCTCTCCCATTCTTCTCTGCAGATCTCAAGCTCTTGTCAGGTTGGATGGGGAGTGTCACTGCACAGCTATTTTCAGGTCTCTCCAGAGATTGTTAGATCGGGTTCAAGTCCGGGCTCTGGCTGGGCCACACAAGAGACTTGTCCCGAAGCCACTCCTGCGTTGTCTTGGCTGTGTGCTTAGGGTCGTTGTCCTGTTGGAAGGTGAACCTTCGCCCCCAGTCTGAGGTCCTGAGCAGGTTTTCATCAAGGATCTCTCTGTACTTTGCTCCGTTCATCTTTCCCTCGATACCGACTAGTCTCCCAGTCCCTGCCGCCACCATGCTTCACCGTAGGGGTGGTGCCAGGTTTCCTCCAGACATGACGCTTGGCATTCAGGCTAAAGAGTTCAATCTTGGTTTCATCAGACCAGAGAATCTTGTTTCTCATGGTCTAAGAGTCCATTAGGTGCATTTTGGCAAACTCCAAGCGGGCTGTCATTTGCCTTTTACTGAAGAGTGGCTTCCGTCTGGCCACTCTACCATACAGGCCTGATTGGTGGAGTGCTGCAGAGATGGTTGTCCTTCTGGAAGGTTCTCCCATCTCCACAGAGGAACTCTGGAGCTCTGTCAGAGTGACCATCAGGTTCTTGGTCACCTCCCTGACCAAGGCCCTTCTCTCCTGATTGCTCAGTTTGGACGGGTGGCCAGCTCTAGGAAGAGTCTTGGTGGTTCCAAACTTCTTCCATTTAAGAATAACGGAGGACACTGTGTTCTTGGGGATTTTCACTGCTGCAGACATTTTTTTGGTACACTTCCCCAGAACTGTGCCTCGACACAATCCTGTCTCGGAGCTCTACGGACAATTCCTTCGACCTCATGGCTTGGTTTTTGCTCTGATATGTACTGTCAACCGTGGGAACTTATGTCCAATCAATTGAATTGACCATAGCTGTACTCCAATCAAGTTGTAGAAACATCTCCAGGATGATCAATGGAAATAGGATGCACCTGAGCTCAATTTTGAGTCTCATAGCAAAGGGTCGTAATACTTATGTAAATAAGGTATTTATGTTTTTTTATTTGTAATAAATTAGCAAAAAAATCTAAAAATCTGTTTTCGCTTTGTCATTATGGGGTATTGTGTGTAGATTGATGAGGAACATTTTTATAATTTAATCAATTTTAGAATAAGGCTGTAGCGTAACAAAATGTGGATAAAGTCAAGGGGTCTGAATACTTTCCGAATGCACTGTATGATCCTTTCAGATCTACATGAATTGCCTAGGCGGGAATGGGACTGGAGTTTAAAACTGGGGGAATAGAGGGACACTTGACCAGCGTATCCTAGCATTAGCATTTAGCATCTGCCCATTCAGCAGCAAGGGGCTGGTCACCAGGGAGTCCCCTAGGGTACAATACAGTGGAAAGTAAAGTCCTATTGCATCACAGGTGCTGGGAACAATACATTC